TGAGCTCCGGCAGCCGCCGGATTCTAATCCGAAAATCCACCGTGGAGAAAGGACTAGCGGAGGGGGAGTGAGTGATGCCATACCTGTCCACCGTCCGGGATTCAAGGCTCGTTGGTGGTTGGTGCTTGGTGAGGTAGTCTAGGCCTGCTCCGAGATGGGCTCCGGCGGCGTCCACGTTGAGGCATGGGGCGAGACTCGAAATCCAGGTCGAGGGTCAGCCAGTCTGGTACGTCGACAGGTTCAACATCCAGGAAGGAGAATAGGTCGGCCAGTTGGAGTGGATGGTGTAGATTGAAGGACCGTCTGTTCTTTCGGATGTTAAGGCTGAAGGGGTAGCCCCAGGTATAGAGAGCTCCGGCCTCGCGAATCACTGCTAGGAGGGGTTGCAGAATCCTTCGCATGTGGAGGGTGCGACGGGACAGGTCCGGCACTCCCTACTGCTGCTCTTTCACTTACTTCCAGCAGCATATGTCCCCCGGGCCGTTGCTTTTTTAACATAGCTGTGTTTCCTCAGCAGCCGGGGGGCGGGGCCTATCTCATGCTGCTCTTAAGTCCTGACTGACTCCAGCTCCCTAGTTCCAGAGGTCTGGCTCTGTCCTTGTCCCTTTGAACAGTATGCCCAGATCCAGGTGAGAAGAGCCCCCTGAGATGGTAAAGAGGTGCGTGTCAGACATGTGCTTATTACCTGTGGAACCAGTGATTATTAGCACTTATATTGTAGCACTGTTAAACCCAGCTATTTTAGGCTACTATTAAACTGACTTTAAAGCAGATTTTGACTTGGAACAACAACAAAACAGGCACATAAAAAAACAACAGTTATTTGGTCAGAATATAGATTTCAAAAGTGGACAGATTGGATTACCACTTTTATCCAGTATTAACCTATGTGGCACTGAAACTGTGAACGATAATCATTAAGATCTGTGTTATGTACAGTTAGTGGGCTTAGTAATACCTGCCGTGCATTTATTCTAAGTCTATGGTGTGAGGTCTGCAGTGCATTTACTCTGGTCTATGGTGTGAGGTCTGCCGTGCATTTACTCTGGTCTATGGTGTGAGGTCTGCCGTGCATTTACTCTGGTCTATGGTGTGAGGTCTGCCGTGCATTTACTATGGTCTATGGTGTGAGGTCTGCCGTGCATTTACTATGGTCTATGGTGTGAGGTCTGCCGTGCATTTATTATGGTCTATGGTGTGAGGTCTGCCATGCATTCATTCTGGCCTATGTTGTGAGGTCTGCAGTGCATTTATTCTGGTCTATGGTGTGAGGTCTGCAGTGCATTTATTCTGGTCTGCAGTCTGCCGTGCTTTTATTCTGGTATATAGTGTGAGGTCTGCCGTGCATTTATTCTGGTCTGCGGTCTGCAGTGCATTTATTCTGGTCTGCGGTCTGCAGTGCATTTATTCTGGTCTGCTGTGCATTTATTCTGGTCTACAGTCTGCAGGGTATTTATTCTGGTCTAGGGTGCAAGGTCTGCTGTGCATTTATTCTGGTCTATGGTATGAGGTCTACCGTGCTTTTTTTTTCCTGGTCATACTGGGGCCTTACCACACGCACTGGAGCAGAAAGGGGGGAGACAAGGGTTTGCATACCTTACGTGTGATATGCACCCAAATCCCCCCTCCAGCCCTTGTGCATTTACTCTGGTCTATGGTGTGAGGTCTGCCGTGCATTTACTCTGGTCTATGGTGTGAGGTCTGCCGTGCATTTACTATGGTCTATGGTGTGAGGTCTGCCGTGCATTTACTATGGTCTATGGTGTGAGGTCTGCCGTGCATTTATTATGGTCTATGGTGTGAGGTCTGCCATGCATTCATTCTGGCCTATGTTGTGAGGTCTGCAGTGCATTTATTCTGGTCTATGGTGTGAGGTCTGCAGTGCATTTATTCTGGTCTGCAGTCTGCCGTGCTTTTATTCTGGTATATAGTGTGAGGTCTGCCGTGCATTTATTCTGGTCTGCGGTCTGCAGTGCATTTATTCTGGTCTGCGGTCTGCAGTGCATTTATTCTGGTCTGCTGTGCATTTATTCTGGTCTACAGTCTGCAGGGTATTTATTCTGGTCTAGGGTGCAAGGTCTGCTGTGCATTTATTCTGGTCTATGGTATGAGGTCTACCGTGCTTTTTTTTTCCTGGTCATACTGGGGCCTTACCACACGCACTGGAGCAGAAAGGGGGGGGACAAGGGTTTGCATACCTTACGTGTGATATGCACCCAAATCCCCCCTCCAGCCCTAGATTATTCAGTTTCACTGTCAATTCTCCTGCAATTCAAGATAATTGGCAGAACTGAAGAAATTAGGTCAAAATAGCCAAACCAGAAAAATTCTACCATTTAGCTCACTTTCCAAATCGTTTATATTGGTCTAGATCAGTGTTTGTTTTGATCGATCAAAATAATTTTGATCGATCAAAGAAATTAACGATTTATTGACGGCACACCCGAAAATATCTCACGGCACACTAGTGTGCCGCGGCACAGTGGTTGAAAAACGCTGGTCTAGATTTTCAAATTCTCCTACCAATTCACCTATTAGTGAATAAACCTGCTATTTTGTAAAAAAGTGTTGAGAAGTAATTTCTATAACACAAGAATGTATATGTGGGTGGGGCTTGTATATGGGCGGAGCACAATGGGGCCCCCATCAACTCGTGTTGCCTGGGGGCCCCATGTGTTTTCAGTCCACCCCTGGTCGGGTATATGCCTTGGTAATTTAATCCCAGAGACATATTGCCTTTTCCTCCATAGTGAAGGCAGGGGGCTTTTGTACAGGGGACGCCCATCTTGTTCTCCCTATACGTGCTTCAGTGACTCCGTGGGACCTCAACCTTGTTCTGACAGCTCTTCAGAAGGCACCCTTTAAACCACTCCAAAATATCTCTGCTCTTACTCTCAAGGTGGCCTTCTAGTTGCCATTGCTTCTTATCCACAAGGATAAGATTGTGCTGAGGCTTAAGGCTTTCTTTCTCCCTAAGGTGGTCCCTGCCTTCTACTTTAGTCGGGACATCATTTTACGATCTTTATGTTCTGCTCTGAGCCTCCACTGTCTAAAAGGCAAGTCTGACTCCCTTTTTCTTCATTCCTGAGGCCCGTGAGCTTAAGGGGAAAAGTTCCCTTTCTGATCAAGGCACATTCTGCTAGAGGCATTAGCGCTTCTTTGGCTTTTTAGTAGGGATGCACCGTTTTTTCAGTGTATAGTACGAGTACCGATATTTATCTTTCTTTACTCGCCGATACTGAGTACCGATACCGGTGTTTCTGCTAGCATGGATCTGGCTTCCCAGGTAATCAGGAAGCCGGGCGGTGTGTCATTACCTGCTGCCTGGCTTTTTGATTGCTCAGAAAGCCTGCTCCATGCTGTTTGGCCGGCTCTATGCAGATTGGCCTGGAAGCTGACTTGCCAGCCAATCAGCATGGACCGGGCTTCCTGGCCTATCAGGAAGCCAGGCAGCGGGTCATTACCTGCCGCCCAGCTTCCTGATTGACCAGGAAGTCGGCTTCATGCTGCTTGGCTGGCAAGCCGGCTTCCCAGCCAATCAGCGAGTCATGTTCCCTCGCGGCACCGCTGGTCAGAGGAAATCTCCTTCTGATCGGAAGTTCCGGTATCGGGGAAGGTATCAGAGCATTTGGGCGAGTACTCCTACTCGCCCAAATACCCGGTATCGGTACCGATACTTGTATCGGTGCATCCCTACTTTTTAGTATGAGGCTTAAGTATCTCAAATCTGTAAAGCTGCCACCTGGTCCTCTGTTCACACTTTTACAAGTTCTACCAGGTGGACACACAGGCCTCTGCGGATTCCAGTTTTGGCCGTAAGGCCCTTCATACGGCCCTTGACTCTGTGGCACAGTTATGTTTCTACTCTTCTTTTGGGGGGCAGGGGTTGATCTGTTTCTTTTTAGGCCTGTTAGCAGTTGTTGTGTTGGAGATGTAAAGATTGAATTCTCTTTTGTCCTGTGATGTATGATCAGGAAAACAGGATTTTTGTTTTACCTGTTAAATCTGTTTCTTGGAGTACATCACAGAATTTGGGAGCATCCACTCTGTACTGCATGCTACAAAACTAAGACCGGCTGGGAGTGGAACGGATTATGCAGGGCGGCCCTGCTGCTTTGATTGATTTTCCAGTGTCCAATCCCCTGAAAGTAGTGGCATAACCCGATGATTAAATGATTTAACTCCCTGTGATTTGTGATTCTTGATGAACTAGTTGAAATTCGCAAAGTGGGTGCCTCTGTGGGCATCCTTTCGGCTGGCATTCTTGGATCAGAAAATCAAAGGAGCCAGATGGAAAAATCTTCAGGCAAGTCAATCAGCTACCATCACTGTTCGTGCATTCTGACAGTGGCATACTTGCTGCTTGTCAGCATACAAATGACACAGCAGGAGATTCATCTATCTATGCCGTTTAGCATGGATGGAGGAATCTGTTCTATTTTTTCCATTCAACCCGCAGGCTGATTGGGAAAAAATATAACCATGTATGACCAGCTTAAGAAATGGATTTTGCAGGCAAGACAAAAGTCCTGTTATATTGCAGCTTTCCAGTTGGCTGCATTTGTTTTCCCTTTTTACACGTTTTTTTTCTCTTTATTTTTCAGTATTGCACTTCCTGTCCTAGGGTGACAATGCTCGCTTACTTTACTGTATCTGTAGAGGAGCAGTGTTGTCACCCAAGGCTGCTCTCCTGGTTTGGACTACAAAACACCTTTTTCCTTTCCTCCTCTCCATACCATAGCGGGAAATGTTCTGTAGTTCAGAGGTAACCTAGACAGAGCTTATAAGACATTGGTTGTAAGTATAGCTTAGACACTGTGTGGTCAGCTCACTATAGGAAGTTATAAGCTCACAGTATTTCTCACGTCAGGAAGTTATCAAGGTCACTGGATTTCTGGCAGGATCAAAAGGGTTTCTTTTTTGGTTGTTTGCATTTATCACACTTATTGGTCCTCTTGTTTTTATAACTTTCTCATATTTTTTTTTTTTTCCCCCTCCAGTCTCTTCTCGATGAACCAAATCCTAATAGCCCTGCGAACAGTCAAGCCGCACAACTTTATCAGGAAAACAAACGCGAATATGAAAAAAGAGTGTCTGCTATTGTTGAGCAAAGCTGGAACGATTCCTAATAGTCTGTGCATCACCTTTTTTGAGTACAATACAACTTCATAAGAGACAGAAATGGAGGTTACTACAAATGCCACAAGTTTAAAGGTCTTAAATACGCTGATGGCAGACAGAATTCTTCCAGTTTCCTCCATTGTTGTTTATGTTTGGAAACTGATAAAAGCTTGTGTATCGCTAGTGTATTTTTTACTGCATGTTGTGCATGGTTTAAAAATAAGTTATTGCTACATTTGTATTATATCCGGTTTGTATTTTTTCTCCTCTTTATTGTATCACATTGGCATGGAGTTTCCATGAAAATACACATTTTGTAAAAAAAAAAAATAGTTTTGTCTTTTTGCAAGTTTGTATGCATGTGTGGAAGCTGCAACATTGCAGACTGGCAAATGACTGCAGAAGTAGAAGAGTGGGCAAAATTGTCCGTGGTAGCAAGAAAGCTCATAGATCAGGCCTCAAAATTTCCACTCGCCCCCTCGCAATTGGCGAGTGAAAAATGCGGCGGGGTGATTGGAATGTTAGAGATGGGGTGCGCCACCGGCGGGACCAGGGATGGGACGCTACCGCCGCGGTGATCGTTCGCTTCTGTTCTCTCTTCTCTTTCTCAGCTGCTGCAGCTACAGAGCGGCCGAGAACAGAAGCGAACGATCACCGCAGCGGTAGTGTCCCATAAAGAGCCGGCACTAGCTCTCTGCGATCCCTCTCTCTCCTCCCTTCCTCCCGGCCACTTCAGCTCCACGAAGCGGGCACTCGTAGGCAGCTCTGATCACACATGTTATCGCTCCCTCTCTCTCCTCCCAGCCGCTCTGAAGCTGCAGCGGCCAGGAGGAGAGAGACAGAACGCTGACAGGTGTGATCAAAGCCACCTCTCTGAGTGCCCACCTCGTGGAGCTGAAGCTGCAGCGGTCGGGAGGAGAGAGAGGGATCCATCAGCGGTGTGATCAGAACAGTATTAAAGAGCCCCCCTCCCAGTCCACATCTTTTGAACGTTATTAATCTGAGTTGCCCCACTCAGTATGCCCCTCGCTTGCGGCCCCCTGGGCCTCTCAATACCTTTGCAAACGCCCCCCGCCGCCACGAGCACTTAATCTCTCCCCTCTTGGCCGCTGCAGCAGCAGAGCGGCCTAGAGGGGAGAGATTAAATGCTTATGGCGGCGGAGGGGGGCGTTTGCAAAGGTATCAGAGAGGCTTGGGGGGCAATTGCCACCCTGCCTCGGGCCTAGTCCGCCCCTGGGTCAGACTAATCCAGCACGTTATTAATCTCAGTGCCCCACTCGATATGGCCGCAAGCGAGGGGCATACTGAGTGGGGCCACTCAGATTAATAACGTCCGAAAGATGTGGACTGAGAGGGGGGCCTTTTTAAGACTCCGGTGGCGGGGAGAAGAGAACAAGAAGCTTGACTGCCATCGTCTGTGCCCGCTTCGATTGGGCTCCTTGGCGGCCACAGCAGTTTCCTCCGCCCACCTCAGCTGCCATTGGTGGGAGAGGAAGACTGCCGAACTGCAGTTGGCCGGCTTCTGCTGCGCAGGAGAGTGTATTTCCTACACTGGACGTGTAGGAAACCTTGCTGCTCCCTCACCATCACCAGGAGAAGAAGAGGTCAAAGCAACTGCAAGTCCCTGTACTTTCTTTGTGACCTCTGCACTGCGTTACATTCTGATCGCTGACCTCTGTACTGTGTACTGACCTCTGTACTGTGCGTCACATTGCTGACCTCTGTACTCCGCGTCACATTGCTGACCTCTGCACTGCGCGTCACATTGCTGACCTCTGCACTGCGCGTCACATTGCTGACCTCTGCACTGCGCGTCACATTGCTGACCTCTGCACTGCGCGTCACACAGCCAGCCTCTGTATTCTGCATTGCACCACTGACTTCTGTACTGTGCGTTGTTACTGATCTTTGTACTCTGCGTCACACCGCTGACCTGGCGGAGTTAAGGCCGGGGCAGGGTAGGGGTTAGGTGGGGCAACTGGTAGCGAGTAACTTTTAAGGCCTGGCTAGTAGCTTAGGACTTGAAATTTTGAGCCCTGTCATAGATGTTGTATCACTGGAGGGGGAGCAGAGGCGGCTCTAGAGTTTGCGAGGCCTTAGGCGAAACCTAATCATGAGGCCCCACTCAGGCCTGTGGGGTCTCACCAGGGCTCTGTGGGGTTTAACCAGGCTGGAGACACCTCCACAGAGTGCTGGTGAGACCACACAGAGCCTTGAACAACCCAGGGCTCTGTAGGGTCTCACCAGCCTGATTATAACCCTCACAGCCCTAGTGAGACCCCACAGATCCTTGGTTAAACCGGGGCTCTGAGGGGTCTCACCAGCATGGTGAGACCCCACAGAGCCCTGGTGAGACCCCAAGGAGCCCTGATGGGACCCCCACAGAGCCCTGGCTAAACCAGGGCTCTGTAGGGTCTCACCAACACCAGGGCTCTGTAGGGTCTCACCAGGGCTATGTGGGGGTCTCGCCAGCCTGGTTAGACCCCTCAGAGCCCTGGTGAGATCTCACATTGCCCTTGTTAAACCTGGGCTCTGTAGGGTCTCACCAGCACCAGGGCTCCGTAGGGTTTCAACGTGGCTCTATGGGTCCCACCTTAGGGTCCTGGTTAAACCAGGGCTCTGCGGGTTCTCACCAGGGCTTTGAGGGGGCCTCACCAGGGTAGCAGTTTGACAGCGACAGGGCTAGGAGCTCATAACGTTACCTGGCTGCAAGGTAATGTGCCGGTAGGGCAAATTAGGCGGCTGCGAGGCCCTCGGGAGTGCGAGGCCTAAGGCGACCGCCTAATTTGCCTAATTAAAGAGCCGCCTCTGAGGGGGAGGCAAGTACTTTGGACTTTAGTTCTGCTTTAAGGACGTACAAGTTTTAGTGGATGTATTAAAGCTTTATTTAAAGCATAACTTCATCTTTAAATCTATATTTTTGACACATTTTGTGATTGTGAAATAGTGGTTTTAAAGAGACACTGTTACCTACCTATTTAGGGCAGAGTGACAATCCCTACTGATAGCCTATCATAGCATACTGGGCACAGCAATAGGCCACTCAGGCCCAAGAATTGTCACGTCGGATCAAATTCTGAAAGGTATCTCAAAGCAGACCTAGTATCAGAAAGGTTTTTCTTGATTTTAGTATTTACCTTTCGAAGAGATCATGATACTCTTCTTTACAATGGCTTTATCTTACTTCCCAGTAGGCCAACACAGGTTTTCCAATTAACATCCAGGATCAGCATCCGTTTCCAGGACTATGGTGCTGGTCCAGAAATGCAGAGACATCAGGATTTACACGACTATCATATTTTGTGTGAACACAATTCTCCCACAGCTATGCGCCACCACCAAAAAACAGCAATAGATATTCAGGAAAGTAGACATCCTACTATGACCATTTCCATAGTCTTATGCCCACTTTCAGTTTTCCTAGAAACTTTGCATCTGCCAGACATGATTGGGTGTTATTCAAAATCACGCTATTCTAGAAAAAGAGCAACATTTTTAGTGTTTTATTCTCTTATACTCTGGAAAATATTTAAATCTACCTGCATTTAAAGTATATGTTCATGAAAAAGTTCTGGAGGCTGACTATCTAAATATGTTAGTATTTTGGCTGTCATGCTTATTCTCCGAATTCATTGCTTATTTTTGTTACTGACCATGTGCTTACGTGCAGATCAGGGGTTCTGACTATACTTGCTGAATAATTTCTCCAGTTTGATGACTTAGAACAGGGGTCTCAAACTCAATTTAGTCGGGGGCCACTGGACAAATGTTTTAATGTATGCACATGATTACATGCGGTATGCAGGTGTGTACATGCAGCAGCTGTCCCATGATCATTAACTTGAATGGGTGACAGTTGTTGCATGTAAATGCCAGATTAGGGATTCCTGCAGGAAAACACAGGTTTGTGACACAGGAATCCCCAATCGCACCTGAAATATAGGAGACTCCCCATTCCAATCGCCCCCGCACACATAATACACTCCCCCCCATTCCAATCCCCC